AAAATTTATTTTTGAGAGAGAGACAGAGCAGGAGAGGGGCAGAGAGAGAAGGAGACAGAGGATCTGAAGCAGGCTCTGTGCTGAGAGCAGAGAGCCCCAGGCGGGGCTCAAACCCGTAAACTGGGAGATCATGACCTGAACCAAAGTTGGACATTTAATCAACTGAGCCACCCAGGCGCCCTGTAAAATGCACTGTTAAGAGGATAAAAAGACAGGCCACTGGCTGGGAGTAAATATTAACAAATCACACGTCAGATAAAAGATCATATTCAGAATATGCACAGAACTTCAAAAACTCACCAAGAAGAAAATAAACAACCCAATTTTAAAATGGGCAAAAGATATGAACAGACACCTCAGCAAAGAAGCTACACAGGTGGGAAATGCAAATTAAAAGAAAGTGCAAATGTAAACAACGACTACATGCCTATTAAAGTGGACAAATCCCTCCCCACCCCGACACTGGCAAAGCCAAGTACAGATGAAAATGCAAAGCAGCAGAAACTCTTATTCGTTGCTGTTGGGAGTGAATAATGGCACAGTTACTTTGGAAGACAGCTTGGCAATTTCTTATAAAGCTAATCTTCAAGTTACCATATGACCCAGCAATGTACCCAACTGATTAGAAATATTATGCTCACACAAAAGCCTGCACACAAATATTTCTAGCAGCCTTCTATTCCCAATAAAGCTGGAAGCAGCTAAGATTTCCTTTAATAGGGGAATGGATAACAGTGGTGCATCCATACTGTAGAATGCCATTCAATGATCAAAAGGAAGCAGCTGTTAAGTCATACAACAGTGTGGACAAATCTTAAATGCATATTGCTAAATAAAAGAAGCCAGACTCAAACGCTATAGACTATTTGATTCCATTTATATGATTAACAGAAAGGTAAAACTATAGAGATCAAAGACAGACCAGCGGCTGCCAAAGGTTTGAAAAGAGGGGGATGGCTGACGAGGTGAAGCATCATGGGTATTTTAGAGCAGTGAAACCATTCTGCGTGGTGCTGCAGTAGTGGGTACCTGACTATCCATTTTGTCAAAACTCAGAGAACTTTATAGAACAAGAAGTGAAGCTAATCATAAGGCAGGCAGAGTTTAAAAAGAGTTTATATTACAAACATCTGACATAATCTCACTGAATGATGTGGGCAATAGATGTGCTGACCTAAAGAACTTTAGAAAGAATTGGAAACAACCCTACAGACCAACGAGCTGTCTGTCCCTAAGCACTGTACTCTAGCTGGTAAAGTCATTTCTCACGGGAGTATGGGTTGACAATTCGGAAACTCCTAAGCATGTGTGCCGGAAGTGAACAATTAAATAAATTGGGATGCCAGATGGTGGGAGCAGGTGTCTGCTGTTGAAGTGGAGGGTTCTAGATAAGCAAGGGGAGAAAGGCAGAATGAATGCTGTGAATGGGCTTGAGTTGGAGGCATTAGCACGAACTCATGTTTCACTTAATTTGGATACTAATGGATAAATAGAGAAATACAGGTGTGTGTGTGTGTGTGTGTGTGTGTGTGTGTGCGTGTGTATTATACGCAGTACCCAGTGAGAATGGACCCCAGTCACAACAAGCACGCCCAGCACACAGATCTTAATTTTTTAATACCATTCTTCAATGAAAGGAAGCAGGCTCCTTGGAGAAATGGCTGATTCTAGGGCTGGGACAGAAAACCAAGATGAACTTGGAGGCACTTAAAATGCCAGAAAGTAAGGAAATGCTCAAAAATAAAGGTAAAACCAAACACAAATGATGAGGGCATGTCACAAGGGCACAGGGCCAACGCCCATCTTAAAAGCCAAAACAGGAAAAATGTGAGCAGCAAAATATATAACATAGAATTAGATGATGCAAAGTATAAAAGAAATAAACATGAGTCCACATCAGTAGCGTACATGACTGAATAAACAAGGAACAGGAGAGTTCTAAACATCTTATGTAGACACTGCCCCTCAAGGAAGCAGAGAATAACTCTTCATGTCTTAACTGTGGGCTATGCACAGTGACTTCCTTCTACAGGGAACAATATGGAAAGAGAAAGAAAAGAGGAACATTCCAGTGGACAAACCTGGCAACGACTACCTCATCTAGGCGGTTAAGGTTAACATCGTTAAGGAGAAGTGGCGCTGATAGCGTGTTCCCTTGATGTAATGTGTTGAGAAAGACACTTCACGTCTGTGGTCTTCTCCTCGAAATCCAGAACTCCATCTAATCGTGAGAAAAACATCCAATAAACCCTAATTGAGAGACAGTCTCCCAAAACAACTGATCGGCACTCCTCGAAATCGTCAAAGAATCCAACACAAGATAAGTCTGAGACACTGTCACAGCCAAGAGAAGCCTAAGGAGCTAAGATGATTAAGTGTAGTATGGTTTTCTGGATGGGATCCTGGAATAGCAACAAGACGTTAAGGAAAAACTAATGAAATCTGAAGTTAACTAATGGTATGTGTTACTATTGGTTCTTTAGTTGTGACAAATGTACTACAGTGATTTAAGATACTATCAGTGGGGGAACCTGGGTACAGGAGTATACAGGAACTCCCTCTATTTGCTTTGCAACTTTTTTGTAAATCTAACTATTGTAAAATAGAAACATTGTTTAAATATTTTCAATGCATTTTTAAAGTTTATTTATTATGAAAGAGAGAGTAAATATTTTTTTTAAATGAGGCAATAGTTCACCTCCCTTGCATCATACCTTTTGCAATGTGACTTTGCCGCCCCTCCCTTGGAAAGCTGGTTTCTATTTGAATCTAGGCTAGCCCGTGACTTGCGTGGGCTGAAAGAATGCGACAGAATGTGATACCAGTCATGGAGTCTCAAAAGGCCTTGCAATGTTGAGACATCACCCAGGCACCCTTGAACCCCAGCCGACAGCCAACCAAACACCAGATACGTGATTGAGTCCCTTCTTCCTAGACAAGGACCTTCAGACCTTCTCTCTGCTCCCGACACAGGGAGCCAAGGAAAAAGTAGCTCAGCCCTACCCAAATGGGAGGGGCCACCAGTGATTCTTACGAGCCATAACAAAAGCTTTCTATTATCCACCTATAGCTAAGTGATTCATTCATACTCGAGCATAATGGTGTGTGTACAAGGTTATTTGTTGCAACGATATGATTATAAAAGATCATCGGTAAAGGCTCATCGGTAGAAAACCGATGAAATAATTATGAGATCTGTATCACGGAATATTATGCAGCTGTTCAAAAGAATGAGGCCGCTCTGTACCGGTCGCTATGGAACAAATCCCATGATACATCTTCTAAGCAGAGCAGCGAGATGCAGAAGAGCACAGAGAGGAAGCTACTGATCCTGTAAACTCTTTACACTCGCTGCAGACTTTCCGCTGGAGGCTATACGAGGCGGGTGACCATGGACCTGGCTGCTGGGAACAACAGTGGAAGGGACACTCCCTTTTCACTCTACCATCTTCTTTGTCTTTTGACTGACGGAAATGTGTTATCTATTCAAAAATAAATAAGAGCAGAAAGAAAAAAACCAAACCTCCTGCGCCTTTCAGGTTCGGTCTGGTATTCTGGACTCCCGAGATTCCCCAGATCCACGGGGCTGCAAAGAGCAGTGGAGGACCCGGGCTGCATCTTCTGCCTCCCTCCCCGCAGCCAGCCTCCACCACGTGCTAAGGGAAGCCAGGGTCTCCCGGTCCCTGGTTCGCCAGCCGTGCCAGGCCGCCACGCCCTCGCCCGCCACTGGAGGGCGGCAGGACGCTACCTTCCCGGGAAGCAACCGCGGAGAGATGGACGTCTGCCCAGAATAGCATAGCAGGCTGGCTGGCTCCTACAGAAAGCTCTCGCTCGGGCTTTACGTATGAAACATCATAACAACCATAATTATGATAAATAAAACGAACGGTTTCGATTTGGGACAAAAACTCATCTCCAACCCCCCTCCAGGCACTGGATCATCCAGCTGTTACCCATAGAGTCCCCAGGGGAAGCCTGTGCATCTGCAGGGGTTGGGGCAGGGTTGAGGGTGCGGAGGCAGAGAGGCATGGGGGAAGAGGAGGGGGATGACCTTGCCCTTCACCTCCACCGGCTCTATAAAACCTTCGGGAGAACTCGCCCTACAAGCTGCTAAGACTAACAATCCTTATACTCGGGACATCTGGAGGGTTTGCCATTGACCCCCTGCGCGACCCTGAAAAAGCACCTTTTAACCTTGAACCTGCTCCACATCTGTAAACTGCTAAGTGGTTATTATAAGAAGTGGTGAAAAAGTGGTGATTATAAGAAGGAATTACGCAATTGATCTGTGCCCTTGACCTGAGAAACTTCTGGGCTCCTCTATCCCCATTTTACAGAAGCTGAGGCTTCAGGAGCGGAGAGTAACTTGCTCCCGGCTATACGGCTGGCAAGCGGCGAGCTGGATTCGAATCCAAATTTCCCTGGTTCCTGACTCCCAGCTCTTACTACTTAATTTCTTCTGCCCCCAAGGGCTGAGGGCTGCCGAGAGGGATTGCATGGGAGAGGTGGTTGGAAAGGGGCCCGAGGCCGCGTTCACGGAGTCCAGTCTGCGTGCCGAGCGTGCACGGCTCAGGGAAGCTGCTTCCTCCCCCTCCCCCTCCCCCCCCAGGCAGGCCGTGTGATCTTCGCGCCCCCTTGGGACAGGCGAGGAGCCGCAGGCGCCCTGCGTCTCCCCCCCCCCCGCGCCCCCCCGCCCCGTCCGAATAGTCTAGATGAGCCGGCCTCGGCTTGCTCCCCGCCAGCTGCTCCCGCGGCCCCGCCGTCCCCGGGCTGCCCCGCGAAGGGCGCGCGGCTGCGGGGGGCCGGGGCGCACGCGGCACTCGGCAAACCCGGCCCTTCAGCAAACGCAGTTCTTGTTTCAGCTCACAGGCCTTTGTTCACGCACCGGGGACGGACACCGCTTTCCCGCGGTCCCTTCTGTCGCGTCTTGAAACACACACGCGCCAGGAACAAAAACGCCGCGCTGCGGAAACCCGCGCCGGCGCTGGGAGCGCGTCTCCGTGCCAGCACCGCGGGACTGGTCCCTGCGGCCCTTCGCTCCTAGGCGCTACTCCGTGCCTCAGTTTCCCCATCTGTACCCGGAAGTGGTGTGTACAAGCCCCAGTCCAGTGCCGGGCGGGCGGGCACGGGCTGGAATTCAGTCTTTCCAGGCGCTGCGGGAGGCAGCCAGGAGCAGGGCAGATGGGGCGCTGTGCAGAGTCTGTGTTTCCCAGGGAAGAGGAAGACGATAAACAGGTGAAGGATAAAACCGACAAGATAATTGGAAATAACAGCAAGTGTTAACATAATAGAAGCGCAAGTAAGTGTACAGTTTGTGCCAGGCTCCCTTCCGAATGCTGTAATGTCTGGGTTGACAACCCCAAGTTCACAGCAAACCTGAGGGAGATTTTCACCCCCCTTTCACAGATGGGAAAGTGGGGGCTGAATCGTCTCTTGGAGGGAAATGAGAAGTTGAAGTGGTTGGAACAATTTCCTCGAGTGTCCAGTAAATGGTGGAGGCCAGATCTGGACTGCACACAACAGCTGGGCTCCAAGCTTGGCCTCATAATCACTCCAGTCTGTCACTCCGGCTATGTGAGGAGGGATGATGACTTCAGAAAGAGAGCGCTGAGGCTAGAGGAGGGGCTTTCCCAAAGGGGTGTCAGGGACCATCTCTGTGCGGGGGCCACCTAGGCGGAGGCCCGAGTGATGAGAGCACCCAGCAGTGCAAAGAGCTGGGCGCACCAGGCAGAGGGAAGAGCGAGGGCAAAGGCCCTGGGGTGGGAGCAAAGGACTGAGACACCTTCATAAACACGAGGAAGGTCAAGGGTGCTGGAGCTGAGGGAGCAATGGCAAGAGTGGTGGGCAAGGAGACTGCAGATGGCCAGAGGCCAAGTGGGGCAGGTTCTGCAAGGAGTTGGGGATGTCGTTTCTGTTGTGACGGGAAGTCCTGCTGTTATGGTGGATGAAGGTGCTGTGGGGAGGACTGGGCTAGGCTTCCTTAGAGGAAGAAGTTGGTCACTTAGCTCTTAAACCCACCCCCTTGTCTTCTGACCTCCTGGCCTCTAGGAAATTCCGGGTGACATTCACCAGCCCTTGGTCTCTAACACAGACTTGGAGGCATCAGATCAGCTAAGCCTTCTTTTTTTTTTTTTTTTTTAATGTTTTATTTATTTCTAGGAGAGAGAGAGGGAGAGAGACAGCGTGAGCAGGGGAGGGTCAGAGAGAGAGGGAGTCACAGACTGAAACAGGCTCCAGGCTCTGAGCTGGCAGTCAGCACAGAGCCCGACGCGGGGCTCAAACCCACGAACCGCGAGATCATGACCTAAGCGAAAGTCGGACGTTTAACCGACTAAGCCACCCAGGCGCCCCTAGCTAAGCCCTCATTTTATAGACAGACGGAAGGGATGGGTCAGGTAGCTTGTTGCTATCTGTTTCGTTCCCTGATGAGCCCCACCAGCATAGGCTAGACCCGGCCCTTAGATCCAGGCAAGGGGGACCCTACCCTTGTCCTCACGCATTAAAGGGCCTCTCTCTGGCCCTCCTCCAGCTGTTTATGACCCCTCCCTAGCCCAGGGCCAAGGGCACATAGCCACCCAAGCCTTTATCTCTTTTCTAGACATACTCTGAGTTCCCAGGATTCCTGAAATCCAAAGGTTCCAAACTGGCTGCCAGGGCCTTTTCAAGCCTCTTTCTGGTATGTTCTTTGGAGGCAGAACACTAGGCCTGGGGGGGTAGGCCAAGGGCAATGTGGCGGGAGCTTGTAAAGGCACAGGATATCTGCACGCACGCACGGGGGGTCTGCACAGCATGGCATGGGGCTGGGGATGAGAAGGGTAGGTGTCCGCTCTCCCCCTCGCCACTATTCTGCATGTCTGAAGAGTCTGAGATCTCCAAACTGAACCTGGCCTTCCAGGTGGTTATGAAGTTACTTACTGTCATAGAGGAGAAGGATAGAACATGCTAAACACAATATATTAGCTTGATGTTTAAACATTTCGACTGGGGGGAGGAGGGAGAAGGCCCCAGGCCCCACCACTATCAGGAGTGGGTCTGGCCCGGGACATAGGAGATATTCAGCATTTATCAACCAGATGGATTCATCTCATTTAATTTAATCCTCACACAGACTGTACGAGGGAAGTAGCATCGTCTGTGTTTTATTGATGAGGAAACAAAGCTCAGAGAGATTTAGTGACTGGTCCAATTTTTCACATTAGAAAGTAGCAGAGTTGAGCCTCCAGCCCTAACATATCTGATTCCAAAACCCATTGCAGTTGGTCCCTGACAAGTGCATACCCATTATGGACACATAAAATCTATCATAACGACTTGAGCACGCCATGTGGTCTTTTTGGATATATGCACTGTTTGTATTATATGAAAAAGAAGAGTCTTTTTTTGTTTTTAATATTTTTATTTATTTCTAGGAGAGAGAGAGAGAGAGACAGCGTGAGCAGGGGAGGGTCAGAGAGAGAGGGAGATACAGACTCTGAAATAGGCTCCAGGCTCTGAGCTGGCAGTCAGCACAGAGCCTGACGCAGGACTCGAACCCACGAACCACAAGATCATGACCTGAGCCAAAGTCGGATGCTTAACCGACTAAGCCACCCAGGCGCCCCAGTCTCTTCTTGATTCTTACTCTGACCTCTAAGGTACTTCAGGAAGTAACAGGGCAGGCATTAATGCTCCGTTGAATAATTGTGGAGAAACTGAGGCTGCGAGCAACGACCCAAGTTTTCATCAAAGTTTAAACAGAGTTTACTTTTCTTGTAGGACAAAAAATCTGAGGGTGGCCAGACTTCCAGATGGTGTAGTTCTTACACCATCCTCAACAAATACCTTCTATCTCATGGTCTGTTCTGGTTATTCATTGGTACACGACAAATAACCCCAAACAATAATCCTTTTATTATTTTCTAAAATTGCGCAGATCTGAAAGTTGGCCAGGGCTCAGCTGGGTGATCTTTCTGATCCATGGGCATCGACTAGTCACTTGGTAATGTTCAGCTGATGGTTGGACTCATCTGGAGGATCAAGATGGTTTTACTGGAAAGACCACAATGCTGTGCTCAGCTGGGTCCCTATTCCTTTCCATGAAGTGTCAGAGCTTCTCTGGATGGTCTCTCCAGCAGAGTGGTTTGACCTTTTCCATGGCAGCCATGGGTCCAAGAGACCATGGCAGAAGCTCCAGTGTTCTTAAGGGCAAGGTCCAGAACTGGCAGAGCATCATGTCCACTATACTCTGTTGGTTCAATAGATCACAGGCCAGTCCAGATTTCAGAGGAGAGGAAGTAGACTCTTCCAAAGAAACTCTTCCTCTTGAAGGAAGGAAGAAGGACCAAAGAATCAGTAGTCATCTTTAATTCATTGCATGGTTCAAGATGGCTGTTTGAGATCCTGTCATCACATTTCAAATCCCAGCCAGCAAAGAGTAAGGTATATACCTTCCATTTTAAGACATTTTCTAGAAGCCACACAAAACCATTTCTCATTGGTAAGAACTCAAGGGACAATAGCGAGACATGTACTTAATGGACATGTTTCCTTCCATTATTGTCCCTCCTGCCACATCTTCCACACTGTCACCAAAATAACCTTTCCTTTTTAATTACCTTTTTTTATGTTCCTAAAAGGTACATCTTTTAATCATTCCCATGCCAACAGCAAGCTCTGAAGTTTTTTTTTTGTGTGGAGGGACCAGGGGATTTTAATGCCTAAAATAACAATAAAAGCATAGGCACTTTACCAAGCACCATAGGAACATATCTTACTCTGTCCTCACAGCAACCCAATGAGAAGGGATCATATATGAGGAAACAGAAGCCCGGAGAGGCTACGTGGCTTGCCCCGGGCCACACAGTGAGTAGGTGCAAGGTGGAGATTCAGATCCTTGTCTGTCCGATTCCAGGGTTGTGCTGAGGCACCCACACGTGGACCTGCCATGACCATTTACTGGAAATGACCCTGGGTCACAGGCAAGGCCCATGCTTGGAGTGTAAGTGCTAGAAGAGGTGAACTTGAGCCGTGAGCCTGCAGATGCCCCCTCCTCCCTGGGAGCCTTTGGTTGGGGGTCAGCAGGTATATCTCATTAAATTAAGCTGGAACCATAAATTCATGTCATCCCACTTCCTTTACAGTGGTCAGGATACAGACCTGGGGACTTCCTGGCCTCTGCCGGCCCAGTGCAATGAGGCACCTCCCAGCTCTGAAGTTCTCTATTCTATCCCCAGGTTCTTCTTGCCTTAACTTTACCCACTTCCAGAACATCCGGTGACTCCCAAATCCCTTTGGCTTCAGTTTTGCCCTGCAGAGCACGGGAAGGATGGAGGAAGGGAAAGGGACAGACAAACCTGGGTTCAAATCCCGATTCCATCCTTTTTGTGAGTCTCAGTTTTTGCATCTGTTAAATGGGAGGAATAATCCCTGCTCTGCTGACTGATGGAGGTGTTGAGGACCACATAGGACAGCGATGGGAATGGCCTTTGCAGATCAGAGCTGGTGAGACATGCAGAACGCACTCTAGCAGTTTGCATTGTCTCCTTGGAGGGTGGGGAGAGCTGGGGTGGGGGTGGGAGCCGTTTCAGGCAGAGTGCTGCCCCTTCCGGGGGGCTCCTACCCACAGCCTCACAGAGGAAGTGGCCCACAGTGGGCAATTACACATAGGTGCCAGGTCAGGAGACATGGTGATTCAGAACAATGGTTCTGGATCAATGGCGGGTCAAACCTTGGTTGCAATCTTGGCTCCACCCCTCACTAGCTGTGGGACCCTTGGACAACTCACATAACTCCTCTGTATCTCCATTTTCACATCTATAAGGTGGGATTAAAAAGACAGCCTTTTGCATTGGCATTTTGTGAAGAATTGACTGAAAACGTGCCTTTAAGACACTTAAGTGCGGAAGAACGGTCCAACCAGTAGTAATGACAACAGTGATTACATTTTTAATTACATTTTTGAATGCAACCCTAATTAAATAAGTCCTGTAAGTGTTTCATTGATAGCTTAGTACTCCTCACCACAACCCTAAGACGTAGTTAACATTATTATTTCCCATTTAAAGACGGGGAGATGGAGGCGCCGTTAGGTTGAAAGCTGCTCAAGGTCACCATAAGTGGTAGGAGCACGATTTAAACCTGACCCAAACTGTCTGATCCAGAGTCCACCGTAATCAATACGCCAGGCTGCCGTCACTTCTACCCTCATGGCTACTGTGGCTCTTATATTCGATACCCGCATTCATAACTGTCCCAACAGCTGATTGGAGCAGGAAAAGTCACCTGACCCAAAGGCTGCCAAGAGATAGGCTAGACAGCAGCCAATGATATAGCTGGGAGCAAAAGCTCCACCCAGCACAACTGAGTGTGGTTAAACTAAACCAATCAGCACCAATCAGGGCTGCCAGTTTGGGTTTGGGTCAAAAAGAGTTGGGTCAAATGCATAAAAGCTAGAAGGCCTGGTGGGTTGGATGATGCAAAGACAGTATGAAGGCGCAGGGTTAAAGCGGAAGCCCACACCTCGGGAGAGAGGAGGAAGAGGAGGTGGAGACCAGCAGATCCCTGCTGCCTAGGCCATGCGCAGCTCAGTCCCCAGAGCGCTGGGTCCTGAATGGTCTCCCAGGGGCTAAACTACATTCTGTGAGGCATGTTCAGAATTCTTGCCTTCCAGTCCCTGCACAAAATTTTACAACAACCCCCATAGCTCCGGTTAACCTGAGAGCTTCTGTGCTTTTCATCCTCAGTGAGACTGTATCAGCCTTCATCTTTAACCTTAGGATAAATGCTAACAATGGGAAGTGGCAAATGGAGAGGGGCAGTAACCCCCTCCGTGTAAGCCCCAGGCCTGACTCTGGCCCGAAGAGGGCAGAAGACACAGCCTGGCCTTGTTCCCGGCACACAAGAAGCCCAGGTCTGTTCTTGGTCCACTTCCTTATCTATGGTCAGGCTATCACACACCAATTGGGTGGGTGGGGGGAGGACACCGGGGCAGGCCTCTCCCCTGCACCCCAGGTTCAAATGTCCATATGCACTTTGTGTTGCCCACACATCTCAATTTTAATCTGTTCCAAACAGAACTTCCCACCATGCCTCCCCAAACCATCCCTCCTGCAGAATTTCCATTTCCAGAAATGCCAAACTTCCACTTCTAGTTGCTGAGATTAAACATCTTGGCATCATCCCTGACCCCTCTCCCAGTCTCATACTCCAACATTCCCTCGGCCAACAAATCCCCTGGGCTCTACTTTGCCAACGTTTCCAGAGGCCAAACACCTCTGGCCACGCCCCCCTCCCCCTGTGACCACCGTGGTCTGGGCCACCATCCTCTGTTTCTTGGAATGAATAGAGTAGCCTTCTCCAGTGTCTGTCCTCACTTTTCACTTTCTACAATCATTCTGCACTTGGCAGCCAGAGTCGTCCCACTAAAACCAAAGCCAGATCTTCCAAGCCCTTTGCACAAAACCCACCAATTACTCCTCCTCTCACTTGGGAAAAACAAAGATCTTTACAAGCCTTCAAGGTCTTACATTCTGGCCTCACCAGTTTCCCATACCTGTCTCCCTGACATCAGCCCTGTCTCCCACCCTCCCTCTGCTCCAGCCACAGAAAGTACCCACTGTTCTTGAAAGGAATGTTCCCACCACTGGGCCTTTGCATGTGCTCTTCCTTCTGCCTCAAATGCTCCTCCCTCATGGCTCCTCCCTCACGTTCTTTGAGTCACGTTGGCAGAGAGACCTTTCCTGGGCATCTTACTAACGATTGCCACCCACCCTCATCTACTTCCCTGCTTTATTTTTTTCTGTAGCACGAATGCTACATGTCACAATCTGACTTGCTATCCATTGTACTTACTATTTGCCATCCACCTCCTGCACCTGACTGTGTGAGCTGCGTGTAGGGAAGAGCTATCATCTACCACATTTATCATTGTGAACCCACAACTTAGACACGACACTTGGCATGAAGCAGGGGCTCTGTAAATCTGTCGGAAGAACAAAGGAACACACAAAGGAAGACTCTGGAGACATCCTGGCCCAGCTGTCACCCTTTGGGTGTTCCCAGGCTGGTCACTCGCCTCCTTGATCCTTTTAGGGGTAAGCCCCAAGGCCCTATCCTGAAACAAGAGAACCAAGGCGACAAGTCAAGGAGGGATTAGTACAAATAACTGGCAATTTCTTTTTAAATATAACTTTTTTCCCCCCTTAATACAAAAGTCCTGTGTCCCAGCTGTTGGCTGTCCTGTCAAATCACGTTCCACCCCAAGAACTCGGTGCTGGAGTTCTGTGTTCTAGCCAAGAATCTGCTGTCACGGAATCACTGATGAGCAGTGTGGGCTTTCTAGGAGGTTCCTGGGGAAGCCGGGGCACACCACCTCCCTGCAGCAGACACCTTAAACCCCCTCCCACAGGAGGGACTCAATGTTGCTGACTGATGAGGCTGGTAGCAGGTAATGGGGTCATTGTACGATTTCTCTCCACTTTTCTGTAGTTTGAAAAGTTCCTTTAAAAAATCAAAAACAAAAACAAAAAGCAGAGTGTTTTCTCTGAAGCTCCTTTTCCCTGACACATCCCCAGAGGACTTCCTCTCGCCCTTCCCTCTCCACCACCACCACCCACAACTTCTCTCTTCCCCTCCCCTCTGGTTTGACAAGACATCAGTTCAGCTCCACTTACCAGCTGCCTATTGGCATACTGGAGTCATCTGAGGACACTTAGAAACGTTTGATGCCTTCTTGTCTCCCCACTTCCAAAGATTTGGAACCACATGGTCTGTTGTGGGGGTGCTGGGCACTGGGTGTAGTAAATGGTCCCCAGGCAATTCTGGCATTTTCTCGATTTGAGCCACCATCTTGTCAAGCAAGACCAATCCCTGATTTTTTAAATTTAATTTAATTTATTAATTTATTTTTTTTGCTGCCCCCAGGAGCCTCCTGTTAACAGGGGCCAGCTTGCTTGTAGCAACACCTTTACTTACCAGAGCCCATCCCTGGGGTCCCACCACAAGTGGTTTAAAGAGTTATTCCTTTCAAACGCAGACAATTACTTCATTCACCACCAGGGTGCCTGGTGGATGGCCTTCTTTCCATTACCTTATACAACATGGGTTCACTGTCATCATTTGAAGAGCCCAGAGAAGTACACAGGAGCCAACCACAGCTCCACTTTGGCCCAGTAATTCCTGAACAGAAAAGATCCGTTGTCACCGAGTCAACTTTAAGGGAACAGCTTAAAAACACATTCAAAGGGCCCTGATGATAATGAGTATGCTAATATGATTTCCATTGGGTGCCCATGTTACCTCCAAAAATGCTGTCTGACCTTCCTCATGGATTCAAAGCTTCCACTGAAGTCAATGGGGGATTTGGGTTAAAATAACATCAAAGTTTTTACTTAAATGGACGAAACTAGGGAGTTGTGAATTAAGGGTGAGTTTCACATTGGCCCGGACACTGCTGACCTTGAGGGGGAAATGCATGCCCTGGTAGGTGGAGCTTCTGGCCAAGCAGCTGTTGCCTTTGGGTGGGTCGAACCCGCAAGCATTTACATGGGGGTCCCTTCTACATGACCAATGAACTCAGGAGGCCTGGGTTCAACTCACAGCTCTCTATTTGTTAGTCAAATGACCTTAAGCAAGGCAAATCACTTCTTTGGTCGAGCCTCAATGTCCCCATCTGTAAAATGGCATAGATGAAACATACTTTGCAGAATTGCTTGTGAGATTAAAGAAGTATGTATGCAGGAGGAATCGGGAAAGTGGAGGACATCTTGGAGGCCCCCACCTTCCCACCCAATTGGAGGCACAGCGGCGTGGAAGAAGCCCAGCCTCCCACCTCCCAGCCCTTCCCTCCTTCACTCGGTATATATTTGTGAGCTGCTTCCTGGGTACCTGGCACTGTTTGGGTGGTGGGAGTCAGCTATGAACAAAACAGATGAACTCTTGCTCTCATTGGAGCCTCCATTCCAAAGGGGGAGGAGAGAGATGCCAAACACAGGAGCATAAATAATGCATAAGGGGTGACAAGCGCTATGAAGAAGGGAAGGAAAATTCCCTAGGAAAGGGACAGAGCTTTAGAATCAGATTGACCCAAACTCAAATCCCAACTCACCCTTTGCCGGCTGTGTAACTCTTGGGAGAGTAATTTTATCTCCCTGAGAATCTTTTTATATGTTCAGTGAGATCCATTGATCATTCATCCACCCATTGAACAAATATTTATAGGATTCTGTCTTGAGTCAGGCATTCTTCTGTATGTTGGAGAGCTGGCAATGAATAAAACAGACAAAAATCCTTGCCCTTGGGAAGCTTAAAGTCTAGAGGAGAGAAACAGACACAGGATGTATATATGATGATGAAGGAAAAGGAAAAGGGAGCAAGTAAGGTAAGGGGCTGGAGAATGATGGAGAAGGGTGCCTTTTGTGTAGGCTAGTCAGGGAAGGACTCTGTGGGGAGGCAACATTTTACTGTGAGGCCTGAAGGTCTTGGGGGAATTAGCCCTGGGGGCATCTGAAAGAAGAGTATTTCCAGCCAGGGGAGAAAGCAAGGGCAAAGGCCCTGAGGCAGGACTGAGCATGACTGTTGGGAGGATCAGAGGGGCAGAGTCAAGGTATGTGTGGCACTTGGCACAGAGCCTGGCTCCTGAGTTAGAGTTCAACAGATCATGGTTATGGTTTGTGCCCCTTTCTTAAAAACCGGGGGACAAATAAGTCACTTGCCACTCTCTTAAGCGTTCTTGGGGTCCCGCAGATTGGTGACCTTCTCATCTGCTTTTCTTCCCTTGTTCTCCGAGTGAGAACCAGCAGATCACACTCCTCGTGCCTGCCTCTGTCTCTAGTCCCAGCCAACAGGCATGGTGGCCATGTGGTAGTGGGGCTGGGGGGAGGGGTGTGCGTAATGAATGATGGCCATTAAATAATAATGGCCGCATCTTGAATTTCTTTCCTCTCCGCAGCCTTACAAATTAGGCGCCCTGGAAACACGGTGCCCGTCGCCAAGATGTGCCTCCATCTGGGGTGGAAGGCAACATCTGCTAAACAGCTGCGTCTTGTTTAAGGGCTGGTACTTAATTAAATTACCCCACTCGGTAGGGGCGGGAGTTGAGCAGGAAGTCACAGGCGTGTGTCCCACCCCTCCCCAAGCTGGCCCAGACCCCTTTCCCGTGGTGTCCCTCCACACACCTGTTTGTTGATGCCACCAACCTGGAAAGCCACATCTTCACAGGACTCCACACTCACCCATGCACCTCCTTACCCTGACTCAAGACGCCCCTGCTGCCTGTCCAGCTCCTCGGTGACCTTCCAACATCTCAGACATCAACATCTCCATGAGGCCTTTTCCAATGTCCCAGGCTCAGTGAACCACCTCCCTTGAGCTCGCGGGGTACCTTATACTGGCGCATTTGTACCGTTACATTGCAGTGTCATGGATGGACCTGCCATTCTATGAGCTCTTTGTGGTTGGAAACCACATTTAATTCATCCATATAATCCCAGCATCGTGCTTGACTCCCCATAGACACTTAATAAGTGTTTGGTTAATAAGTGGTTGGAGGAAGGGAGGGCAGAATGAAGGGACAGGTGAACAGATGGATCCACTGTTACCATGTAGATCCAAGCCGCCACCACTTCTTATACTGCAGTCTCCTACTGGCCTTCCAGCTTCTGCTCATGCCCCCAACAGTCTATTGTACTTAGAGCACCCAGGATCTTTTAATATGGAATTACATTACGTCACTCACTGCTTAAAACCTTCTAGTAGCCTCCACGTTCCTAACCCTAGCCTACAAACCCCTGTAGGATCCAGCTCCTTCCTGCCCTTCTGATCTCATCTCATTTTCCTGACCTCCAACTGCTTTGGGAACCAGCCAAGCTCTCTCACCTCAGACCCTTTGAATCTGCTGTTCTGTCTACCTGGGACTGTTCCCCCGGCTGTGAACTTGGCATTCTATTAGTCTTCAGGTGGGGCTTTAATGTTATCTCCCCAGAGAGGCCTCTCTTCATCCTCCTCGTCAAAATATCCACCATCTTGATCCCCAAAGCCAAAGGGGCCAGAGCAAGACAACCAGAGCGTTGGCTGCTGGTACAGACCTGCCCCACCCCGAGGCCCGCCACCAGCCACCCCTTCACCCAGGGACTCATTCCTCCTCTCCATCAACTGATGATCCCTCATGAATGGGCTTGTCTGGAACTGCTGCAATTAAACCATCGGAGCAACATTGGACCATTTGTTTACTATGGCACTTAGAGCTGGAATGGCTTGTTGTTTTGACGGTTTCTATTTTCAGCTCCATTTCCTGGGGGTAGCGGGGAGAGGGTAGGCAATGAATCCTGGTCTATTCAAGCAAAAAGATGCTTCAGTGAATCCTAACATTTCAGAATCACAAAATTCTAGAATCATTTTCATGGAATGTGAGAACAGTAAAAACGTGTAATTTTAGCGAGAGGTTCTTAGAGTCGTGGAATTCTAGAATCTTATACAACACAGATTAGTATCTTCGTGTCAAACCAGTTTAGCCTCAAAGCCTCAGAGGGGTGGGCTCTTAGAGCTTCTCCCACTTTGCCGGGGTCTCTGCTCCAGTGTGTCGCTCAGGAAGACCTCCTCCGATGACCTTACCTACGAGGTGCGCCCACACCCACGCTCTGTCATTCTCCATTGTTTTACCCTGCTTCATATTTCTTCATGGCACGGCTCACCACCTGACATCTGATGTAGTTCTCTCTGCTTATTTGCTTATTGTCTGTCTCCCCCACACGTTGGATTGAGGTCAGGAACTCTGTTTTGTTCGCAGCCTAGCAAGTACTTTGAAAATAGTGGCTGACACGCAGTAAAGATTAAAAAAAAAAAAAAAGAGTCTATTCATCCAACAAATATTTATCGAGTGCCCACTTTGTGCTGGCCTCTCGGAGATAATCATGTTCCGGGAGGGAAGGTAGGTCTGTTTGCAAGCCAAATCCAATTGGTAGTAGACACCCAGAGAGAGCCCGGCGTTGAAAAGGATTCTCAGGGCTCATCCAAGCTCCATGGGGGAGGGTGATCGATCGGCAATGTCTGGCACAGACCCAGCAATAGAGAGAGGCAGCCGTGTCCCTGCCCGAGATGGGCTCTTATCTTAAGCTTACACTTAACAAACAGAAGCTCAGAAGGGGGTAGGAAGGCGCTGAGCAAGCTCACCCCCCCCCCCCCCCCCCCCCGCCCCACGCCAGGCTGGTTCCTGGGGCCCGAGTCTCCCCGGGGGCACAGGTTGAATGCCCTGCCCCTTCACCTGGCCTTTGGGCTTTCCCTCCGCTCAGGCCTTCCCAGGAGTGAGGGGCTGCTAGAGCGCCTGGCCTTGAACCCCAGCCTGGGAACCCAATTCTGGAACACCGCCTGAACACACAAGCCAGTTATTTTTAAAAATCCAAAAAGAAAAGGAAGAAAGAGCAAACTCACTGCTTCGGTCTGTGCACCGGCCCCAGCTGAGAGAATAGAGGCTTGAAAGGAACAAAGGGTTTCCTCAAACGCAGCAGATCAAGGGCTTGGCTTATGTGGTAACCGGTGACCGACCACCGCGCTTTGTGACGGAGGCTTCAGAAGGCCGCGGGCCTCGGTTCCTGCTGCAGTCTGTGGGGGAAGGGGAGCAGGGAACACCCTCCCCACCCCCACCCCACCCCAGGTCAGGCTGCTTACATGATGGGCTCTGAGTGTTGGGGTCTCAAAGGCCCATTAGGAGCCTGTCACCTGCTACTCTTGGTCAGACGGGCAGACCTCCGGGCCACACAGGGAGCGGTGGGCCAGTGCACGTCCCTGTGCACACCTTAGCACATCTCCTTCCAGGGAGGTGGAGCCAGTTAGGTGAGTCCAAATGCCCTTGCCTCTTGTACCCACCAGGGCTGCCTGGGAAAGCCGTTTCAGACTCTCTCCCAGCCACTCTAACTTCCTGTTCCCTTCCCTCCATAGATTTCCCCTTTCGAGGTGCCTGCAGGGGGAGGGGCTTTACACGTAGGTCCCTGGGGTCAGCACTGACTGGTGAGGTCTGAGGTCGGAGGACTGTAATGGAGCCTCAGTCCATTGGCGGTGACTGGCAGAGCTGATGTTTGAACTCAGGTCCACCTGTCTCCTCAGCCAGGCTCCTGTTGACCTCTGCCCTCTGCCCCCACCCCATCCCGGGTGTCAAAGGTCGGCAATGCTTAACCGGAGTCATGGGACTGAAGCAGGTGCCAGAGGTGAGGTGAGGTGAGGTGAGGTGAGGTGAGGACCTTCCCTCCATCAGGCGCCATCTTGCACACGAGCCACGCGTTTGTCCCCAGCACCAGCTGGCCTTCAGTCTGAGGGTGGCACAGGCCCATCCAGTCTCCTTGTTACCTTCCCACACACACGGCCGTGTGTCACCGTCTCCCTGTGTCTCTCTCTCACGGCTCTTTCCTACCCCACCTGTCCGTCAGCGTCGACTCCATTCTGTGGGCCTCCGGCCTCAAGGCCTCGTCCAACCCCCCCAGTGTCCCGGCTCCCCTGTCTCCCTCTTCTCCCGCTACGTCTGTGCGCTGCTTTCTGTCTGCATATTCTGTGTCCTCCCTCATCCGCCACCCGAGCTCCGTGTCTCTCTCAGCAGCCTACCTCTGTAGGGGTCCCAGAGCTCCCCAGAGCTCTTTCTCTCCCTCGTCCCTGTCTCTCCCTCCCTCCCTCCTCTCTCTGTCTCTGTCTGCTTCCATCTCTGCAGCCTCCCTCCGCTCCTCCCCTCCCCCCTCCCCTCCTGAGCCTACTCCTTCTCTCACACCCTTCATGCTGACGTGTAATATTCCAGTCAAGCCCAGTTTAGCTGTAGGGGACAAGGAGGGATTGGTCAGGGACACTCCAAAAGGTGGATTTGGGGGCAGGGTCATGCAAAAGGGAACAGAGCCAGCCTTCTTTTCTTCCTCGGAAATGACTGGCTGCTTTCCTGGGAGGCAGACAAGAAAGTCCCTGAATAGGGATTTAAAGCACTAAGCTCTGATTCCTTCTTTTTAATATTTATAAAGAGAGAAAGGGGATAATTTCAGGAAGATCATTTCAAGGCGAAAACCCACATATTTTCAATAGAATTATTCCAAAAGCCCCTTTCCGGCTCATTGGAGTGTATAATTTTGTAAGTTAAAGACACGAGGCCTGGTTTCCAAGTTCCCTAAAATGACGCAGCTAAGTGAGGGCCAGAAAGGAAGTGTAAGATGAGAAGGGGGATGGCAGCAAAGGAGAAGGACAGGCTTGTTCCAGGGTCAGATGGGTCACACGTGGGCCAAAGGACAGGAGCCCACGTCTTGCCTGACCCTCTGTCCTCTGCCCGTGTTCCTCAACAAGCCTGCCAAACTTAAGGTATAACCATTGTCAAGTACTGGCCCCCAGTCTTGAGGCCCCTGCCTCAGTCCAGACCCACAGAACCAACTGCCTTGGGCTGAGGGCTCATAGGCCCAGGGCCACCACTGTCTTCCTTCCTACATCTCTGCTGCCCTGTCTTTCCTCTCAGCCATCCAGGAGTCCTCCATGGGTCCTCCCTCACCCCTACCACCTCTAGGTGGTGGTCAAGCCTGTTGACCACCCCCTACCTCTGGAGTCTCCTTCCATCCACACTCTCATTGGCTAAGCTTGGGCCTCAGCATCCCTGGCCTTGACCACCAACCTGGGCCCGGGCAGGGGTCAGGTCTATGGGCCTGTGTACAGGCAGATAGAGCTGCCTCCCTGAAGCCCAGCTCTAAGGACAGTCCTCTCATCCTCAAGAATTGTCACAGCCCCCACCCCCTCCAGAATGCAGGCAAATCCTCCCACCCCTGCATCCATGATCTAGCTACAACCCAACAACTTGATTTCCTCATGCTCACGCTCCCACCACAAACTCTTCATTGCACTGTGGCTCAAATGAGCCACACTTTTGTGTCTACCCAAAAGGAATGAGAAACATTTTCTTACGTCCAAGCCTTGGATGAGTCTCCTCCCTCCCCCCGGAAGGCCACCCTGCTGTCTTCCCATGTGTAGCTCCAACCCACTCTCAAGGTTCATCTCAAATGGCACCCATCTGGGAGGCACGGATGTAATTGCTCTTTGTCCTTCTTCATGCAGTTTCCTTTGCTTTCTCTTTGACCCTTGACATTTCACTTTGACCGTGAGATGGGCTGTGAGGTTTGAGAGCAGGTGAACTCGGGCTCAGACATTTCCCCAAACCAAACCATGCTGGATTCTATGGTTCTGATAGGTTCCTCAAAATTGTTGGCAGGGTACCCTGCTGATAGTGACAGCGGTCATTGCAAACATCAAGTACTGAGTACTTACTGTAAGCCAGACACCTACTGAGTGCTTGGTACATGGGGTCTCACGTAGTTGGCGATGACCCAATGTTATGGGGCTCTTATCACCTCAGTGATACACACGAGGAAACTGAGGCTGGGAATCGGAGGATCTGGACTCTGGCCGGGCCAGCCCAACTCTGGAATCTTTGTGTTTAACCTCAGACACACTGAAAATCCTGACACCTCAGTACCAGCAGGAACTAAGCGATGTGGTGCCTGACTCAGCCCCACTGAAGAAGGCCTACTCACTGTGAGGCCAAAGCCACATCCTCTCCCTTGGGCCCTCGCTTCCCCATCTTCTCGATGGTCAAGTTCCTGTTTGAAGAGCATGGGCCTTTCAATTGCCAGCTCTCCAAACCTCAGGGGTCACAGCTTGCTTTCTTTTCCCTGGAGAAAGACACAGCTGGGAGAGATGGAGCACAGAACTTCAAAAGAAGCCCATGGAGGCCAAAGCAGCCCCCTTCCACCTCTTGCCCCAGCAGCAGACGGGTTTTGCTTGGCCAGGTCTAGTCCCTGGTGCACCTGTGAAAGCCCTCAGAAAGCTGCCATGGTGACTCCTCCCCAGGGCTGACTCCTAATTTGTAGACTCTGGTTTCATTTCTCACCAGGGTGTCTATACCAGCCTCCTCACCGGTCTCTCTGCTTCTACTCTAGGCCTTACCTGCGCAGCAGCCTTGTCTCATTTTGAACAAAAAATGTAAAGTCTTTCTAGTTCTTAAAGCCCTCCGTGGGTTTCCATTACAATTACAGTAAAGCCCAAACTGATCTTCCAGGCTCCCAGGCCCTGTCTTCTCTGGCCCCCCAGGACTCCCTGGGCTTCAGGCACATGAGCCTTCTAACAGTGCCCAGACCACCCAGGTTCTTTCCTATGTTGAGGCCTTTGTTCTTGGGATTTTCCTAGTTCCTTTCTTGAATTCTTCCTTCCCCTTCTTCAGTTTGAAAACCATCCCTTCCCGAAGGCCTTTCTTGATTCCAGTTATCCATCGTATCTTCTGCCCTGTGCACATTCACACTATGCGGTTCCTATTGTGTATTGTGCCGTTCAGTAGTTGGGCATCTCTAGTGTATTGTCCATCAGAGTCAGCAAGATGGCAACTTGGGAAGCTCTAAGCCCTTATCCTTCTCAGGGAAACATCAAAAACCAAAACAAGGGGCTCCTGAGTGGCTCAGTTGGTTAAGCGTCCGATTTTGACTCAGGTCATGATCTCACGGTTCGTGGGTTTGAGCCCTGCGTCAGGCTCTGTGCTGACAGCTAGCTCAGAGCCTGGAGCCTGTTTCAGATTTTGTATCTCCTTCTCTCTCTGATGCTCCCCTTCTCATGCTCTCTCTCTCTCTTTCAGAAATAAATTTTTAAAAAAACATTCAAAAAATTAAAAACAAAAACAAAAATCTAGAAACTGGGCTGAACCAATAATAAAGCGCTGGAAAATAGTCAAAGGCTTACAGCAACCAAGTGACTATCGAGTCAAGAAAAGGGCTCTCTCCAAACAGGGGGAAAGGTTCCGTGGCAGTTACTCTGTCTCTTGTCCCTTCCTCTCCCTGGAAAAACAGTGTTCTTGGTCTGGACAAGGCAGCAGCCTAGTCCCCGATTGCCTCCCTCAAACCAGACTTTGGGAAGCAGACCTTATTTGCAACATTCTAATGCGGTGAGTGCTTCTTGACGGGCTGGTAACTGTTTCATCCAACTTGGATCTCAGGCAGGGAGAAGCAGCAGGCATTGCTCATGAAAACTTCGGAAGACTATAGACCCACAGATGCCTGGGTCCATAGATGGTCTATGGCATGTGCTTACCCTTGAGATCGTGCCCCAGACCTTTTGATTGGATGTTCACTTGGTCACTATGAAACTCTGTTTTCCAGAGCCCCTATATTAGTTCAGTGCAGTTTCGGGTTTTTATTTTTGTTTTGTTTTGATGTTTCTATGGGAGGGATGAGAGCTTGGAGCTCCTAGTCTGCCATCTTGCTGCCTATGATGGTGAGCAATGCATTTGAGCAGGCTGAAGGAAGAATCTGTGAACTTGAAGATAAGACAATGGAAATTATTGAGTCTCTAGCATGGAAAGAAAAAAAAAAAAGAATGAAGAAAAGTGAACAGAGCCTAAAGGACTGTGGACACCATTAAAGGAACAATATATGTATTATGAGAGTCCCATAGGAAGAGAAAAAGAAAGGGGCAGAGAGGTTATTTGAAGAAATCATGGCTAAAACGTCCCAAATTTGATGAAATATATGTATCTACAAATCCAAGAAGCTGAACTAACCCCCTAGTAGCATATACTCTGATCCACACTGAGGTGCATTGTAATAAAACTGTAATAAGCCAAAATCTTGAAAGCAGTATGAGAGACATGACTCGTCACATACAAGGGATCCTTGGATATGATTATCAGCCTGTTTCTCAGCAGAAATTTTGGAGGCTAGCAGACAGTGAAGGGATACACTTATCGTGTTAAAAAACAAAACAAACAAACAAACAAAAAACAGGTTTCAACCAAGAGTTTTATATCAAAAAGGAAAAAATCTATATTCAGCAAAGCTGTCCTTCAGAAATAAGGGAGAAATTAAGCTATCTCAAGATAAACAGAAGTTGAGGGAGT